TTAAGGCATCAACTGTTGTCTTCACCCCTTCTTCAAGTTCAGGTGAAGCATCTTTCGCATCTTCATCATCTTGAGGGTCCCCATTATTGAAAGATATGTGGTAACACGATGAAACATCCCCCAATTTCTCATCATCCTCCATTAGAGACGAAACACCATTCTCGCCTAGTGCATTAACATGATACGAAGAACCCACACTTTATTCATCTTCATCACCTTTCTTAGTGTAGACCACAGTATATGTCTTTACCTTCGGTACTTCTTTACATGAAACCACAAGTTTTGTTTGTCGCCTCATTCTGTAAGGAACCAAACTTTAGAAATCCTTAGAGATCTTTTGGATTCTGGGTGAAGCGGGTGTTCTAATGCTTTGATAATTTATTTGGAACTTGTTCCCTTCTTTAATGGACCCAATCTCTCAAATACGGAAGTCCTCACAGTTGATCTTCCAAGTCGATCAAATACAGATGGCATGTTAGAAGCGGTAGATTCATCTTCTACAGTGATATAATTATTGCTTGCCCTTCTTATGGAGCTGCGCACTGGTGAGGGTTTTTTATATCCCAAACCTTCACGTGGTTTCCTCGTAGTAGCTTCTGATAGGAGCTTCCCTAACTTTGACGGCTCATTGGGATTGTATCCAGCTTTTGCAAATAGCCTGTAAGTGTTAGGATCAAAACCTTCATCTGTCCGCTTTGTTGGGAGTGACACATTCTGCAAACGATTTTGGGCCACAAACCCTGCAAGTGGTTTTGAGGACAACTTTACTGCCTCAATTCGTTTTACCGGAAGAGTTAACTCCTTTAGCATGTTAGTTTCAAGATTAGATGATTCACCTTCATATTTCTTCCTTCTAGGTACATATTGGAGCGCATGAGTTACTTTCTTGCCACAAGACACAATATCCCCTCTATAAGATTTATTTGAGTTAGGTTGTACTTCCTCAGTAACAGCTTTGGCTCTACCAGCAGTCACCTCAGCTCTTTTAGTTGTGGGCTCGTCATTCTTGCTTTTCATGCCATCATCAGCTTTTAGCTCCTTCATAATGCGGTTCTTCGAGTAGAACTTTGCATTGGCGAAGTGTGACTCAACCTCGGTGAATGGCTCATCATCAGCAACTATCTTCTTCTCAACTTCACCCTTGTAGTATTTTAAACATTGATGGTAGGTAGATGGAACTACTTTATCCTCTTGTATCCAAGGCCTTCCAAGCAAGACGTTGTATGAAGTCTTTTCATCGATCACATGTAGCCATGCACTTGATTGCATATCCTCAATGGTGATTCCCATCCTGATCGCGCCTATGGATCTTTTCCCCCTTGGTTGAATCCTTGGATCATCACATGACTTTCTGAGAGTTCGTTCATCGGAATACAAAGTTCTTTTACAGTGCGAATTGGCAAGATGTTCACTGAGGATCCTCCATTAACCAAAATTCGATTTATCTTTTCGTCACGTAAATAGCCAACCAGGTACAAGGGGCAGTTATGAAGAGTGTCACCTAGCAGAAGATCGTCATTTGTGAACGTGACTTTTTCCTCGCACGTGTTAACTTCTTGAGGAATAGACTCGATGAGATTTTCTAAAGATGGTGCCAATGGTAGGTCATCACTCTTTTCTTCCCCTTTATCAGCATTGCAACAAGAGGCCTCAATACCATCACGGAAAATCTTCATGCGGAACCAACAAGGCAAGAAATCCTCCAAGGTCACTGGATGTCGCAGCTTTTGAGGATGGTGCACCTCCACTTTTGCTTTCTTCAAATGCTTAACTGGATTCCATCTCCTTGTTCTTTTCACCATTATTTTCCTTTTTGGTTGTTCTATTGTTTCTTTTCGTGGGCTCCTTTTGTGGCGCCTACGACGAGTCACTAATGTCCAACCTTCATGATCATCAGGTTGATCGTGTTCAACTTTGTTGTTCTCCAGTAATTATTCATCTTTACTTTCTTTAAAACTACATAATACATATGGACTGAATGAGCCAAATCTGATAGAAACTTGGTTTGCGCTTGCTTTCTCATCTTCAAGCACGATCTTCTTTTCACGAGCCAAGTTCATAACTTTGTCCTTGAAGACAAAACACTTCTCCATAGGGTGTCTCACAAGTCGATGATATTTGCGGTAATTTGGGTCATCAGTTTTCCCAATTTCATTTGGCCATTTCATTTCCGGAAGCTTAATGAGATTTAACTCAAGGAGTTCTTCGAAAATGGCTGGCACATCAGAATACAGAAATGGGTACTCTTTCTCTTGCATTTCTTTTAGAGTCAACTTTCCACTTGGCTTATCTTGACAAGAAGTGGATTTCATTCTCTGATTCTTGCTCACCTTCGTCGTGAACTTCATAGGTGATGTGTTGACATTCATAACTTCATTGCTTTCAGACTTGGGTACGAACTTGCCCCACTTCCTGACTTCTTTCTTGTCGTTACCTTTGCGAGGTTCATAGATGGGCAGCCTTTCATTTCCAGCGAAGGTCATGCTCAATTTCATGTCATGGGCACGAGTTACAAGTTCTTCAAATGTGCTAGGCTTGATACCTTGCAAGATGTAGCGCGATCCCCAATGCATGCCTTGGATGCACATCTCTATACCAGACGCTTCACTAAGCCTGTCTTTACAGTTGAGGCTTGCATTCCTCTAATGATTGATAAAGTCGATAACTGGTTTACCCTTCCTTTGACAAGTATTTGTGAGTTCTACCATGCTCACATTGTGCCTTGTGCTATAAAACGATTGAGGAACTCTTACTCTAGTTGATCCCAGCTATCAATAGATCCCGCCTCGAGGTCTGTATACCAATCAAAAGCATTTTTTTTAGCGAACGGACAAACTGTTTGACGAGGTAATCTTCATAAGTCCCAGCGTTGTTGCATGTCTCAACGAAGTACGCCACATGTTGCTTTGGATTGCCTTTACCATAAACTGTTGAAACTTTGGAGGTTGATAGCCAGTAGACATCTTCAACATATCGATCCTTGCAGTGTACGGCTTTATGTATGTAAGGGAGGATTTGGCAGCAACTTTATACTTATTCTTAATAGTTCCTTCAATAAACTCCTTCAGTTGATCGATGGGAATCATCCCTTCAGATGAGACAGGGATAGCCTTAGCGGATGCTACTCGTCTTGGGGGAGAATCAATCTTTGAAACTTCTGGGAGCTTGCCAGGTGCATAGGTGGACTCTTCTTCCATCAAGATTCCCACCTTGTCTGCTTGCTTGTCAATTCTAGCATCTTGATTTTGCATGCACTTGGTCAAGCCAGTGTTTGTTTTCGTCAAGTTTGCAATTGCTCTTCCACAGATGAAGTGTTTGTCGCCATGGCTTGCATGATTGTTGTAGATGATGGGGAGTAGCATGAATTTTCACACAGATTGATTCTCGAATGGCTCATGCTATGCAGTGTAAGTAGGGAGGATCCATCACTTGAAGCATCATCATCTTCCTTCACAGCATAGTTCTTGGATTCAGAGAGGTCAAGCAGAGCAAGAGTTTTCTTGATCTTTTCAGCAACATCGCTTCCTCCTTCGGGTGCGTTTGTGGAAGATCTTTCTCCTTTTGAGGATGAAGATCCGAAAATAGGGGTTGATGCGGACGGCACTTGGAGTGCTTGTTGTCCTAAAGAGCTTGCTTTGCTCCTCGTAACTGGTCCGAAGCTTCCAAAGGTAACATCGAGGATGTTTTCCACATCAGCATAGAACCTGGAGTTAGCAGCCTTGGTGGAAGTTGATCCGGGGTTGATTTTCTTTGAAACCATTTTGATGTTCTTAAACTTTGGCGATTGAAAAGTTGAGATGAGAGGTAGAGATTGTCCCATTGGGCGTGCCAGAATTTGTAGACAATAAATTGGGTCAAGAAAATAAAATCAAGACCGAAAATATTATAACAATCGTAGTATTTGATTTTAACAATATGAGTGTACAATCTTTATGAATCCTCTGATTCTTTTTTTCAACAGTAAATAAAAGAGTCTATGAGCTTAATCTTGAATTTTAATTTATTTTAATCCAAGTGCTCGAGGCCTAATCTTGATCTTGACATATTTTTAATCCAAGGGCTTGCAGCTTGTTCTTGAATCTTCGTCTTGATCCTTTAATCCTTAGAACACTTGAATGCTTGTAGCTTTTAGAGAAATCCGCAGTATTTGATCCACGAGCTCCCCCTTGCTTCTTGTTATAACTTCTGGTGTCCTCTCTAAGTTATGAAGACCCCTATTTATAGTTGTGGGAGGGAAGAGTTGTGATGAGAACAAACTCTTTCCGACCAATCAGATTAAAGAGTGACAAGGCCGCATTTGATTGGCCAGAACATATCACTTGCACATGTGGCGTGATTTCATTGGCCTTTTAATTTGACTTAGCGTGCCTTGTCATTTTGACACATGACACAATCCTATTGGCTCTTCCGTTTGACTTGGCGCGCCACGTCATTTGACACGTGGCACCAAACTGGGCCTCTAGGAAGATGACATCTTGGGCTTAATGAAGTGGGCTCATCACTTTAGCCCAATTAAATGGGCTAGCCCAATGGATTAAGACTTATTTATTTAATCCATATATGTTGGACTTATATAACTAATCCAATTATATTAGCCCAATAAATTTGTTTGAAGTAATATATCTTGAATTTAAAATATAGTCCAAATTATCTTACAGATTTAATTCCAATAAAATTTATATGCCTACAATTTACATTAAGGATTAAAGGCCTTAGTCTAGGCTTAATAGAAGCACACTTTCATGATTAAGCCTAAATCTTGACATAAGTTAGGATCATTTGCTTTATACCGTGTTGATTTTGTAAACGTTCAACTAGTATACAATTTTTAAAGTGAATTCGTACTACAAGAACATCAATTGATTTAAATAGTCAACAAATAAAAGAAATTAATTAACCGACATGGTTATAGACAACTCATTAAGCTTATCTTCAACATTAAATTAGTCTACTATGGTTGCTTAAACGAACAAGTATACCATGTAACTCTCCTATAAATATCCCCAGAAAACCAAATGAATCTAACACATCAAACCAAGGAAAATTAGACAAAATTAAAGACAATGGCCAAGTTAGCTCTCGTGGTTGCTTTCTTGCTTCTTGCATCACGTTAGCCCTAATTTCTCTCTCATTAATTCCACATTTATTTTTAAGTACTTTTTTCATATTTATTTCTATTTAATCCAAAAAAAAAAACTTAATGTAAATTATTTTATGAACAGTTTTTCAACCTCTCACGGCTCAGTCCAGTTGCCCAGGTTTGGTTTTTACTCTTCGTCTCCTGCTTCTTAATTCCTATATATATTACCTAATCTTTTGTTCATAATTTTTTCTATTCTTTTTTCCATTATATATCCTCTCTCATTATATTTATTAATTTTAGGAGTGAAAAAGGAGACATGGCCAGAACTTATTGGGGTACCAGCTAAGTTTGCAAGGGAAATAATTCAGAAGGAAAATCCAAAACTAACTAATGTTCCAAGTCTACTGAATGGTTCTCCAGTGACAAAAGATCTTAGATGTAATCGAGTTCGTCTTTTTGTTAATGTGTTGGACATTGTTGTACAACTTCCCCGGGTTGGTTAGGGAAAAAAATTTACCCGCGCCAGGTGTTTAACTAGCCCCAAGAAAATAAATTGGAGCCTTATAATTAATGCTCCATATGTAATCAAAACTATTTGGTGATAAATTAAGTGTGGCTTTTAATTTTAATGTTAATATGTCATCCTGCTCCTGCCGTTTATGGTAATAATCACTACATCTTCTTCCACGTGTCATTACCTTCACTGCTTAACATCTTGATGACCGTTAAAACATAACTCCAAAACGTTGCTATTTATACGACATGTCCTTTTACAATTTATAGTAACTTGTGGTCTATAAATAGTTACTCTTTCGGTAGTTTGACTTGGCGCGACAAAAAAGAAAAACTTTTAAATTTGTGGTTTTAAAGGCTTAAAGGGTACAAGTTTTGTAGGACCATAACATTTGTGTCGCTATAAAAGTTTCTCATTAAAAGGAAGTTTGACGTAGTCAGATCCAAAAACTGCATTGTGTGTATACTATCTTAGGTATATTTCAGGACAAAATAAGTACTGGTTAATCTCTAAGGGAAATTTACCTAATTATACTATAATAGAAACTTATTTACCACTTTTCTTTAGGTTCCTTAAAAATTATATTCTCTATCTATATTTAATATTTATGTACAAAACCTTAATAAAGAGAGCATCCTTAAAACTAGGATGTAACTGATACATCCCTTCCCTCTCC